GTAGATAAAATTAGAGACCATCCTGTTCTGTATTGTTTCGAAATAGTTGGAAATGTCGTCTTGAATTTGTGCTGTCGTCGATACATATACAGTTTGGCGTATAATTTACTTTAGTTTTCCGTGTACTAATGAAAACAAAATTCAATGAACCCATACTCATCCCGAGGACAGCATCAGTATACAGCCTCCTTCAGGCCTACCTGAAGTGGTTTAAGTTGAAAGACCAACCAAGAAGAGTGACAGAACAGACGAACGGCGTCAAGTCGCGTCTTATATGTTTCCAAAAGGCTTCTATAGCGAAAAGATAAGAATCAAATAAAAGGCCACGGTACCACCACCACTTAAGTTTTCCGCGTATATTAGCATATATCATCCAGACCGTGTATTATGCGCTCTGGATGATGAAGTCTTGTGTCACGTAATCGGGAATAAGCGCATCCAATGGTAAGTGCTTGCACACTTCGCGTTGGCGGACGATCCAATAACGATTACTAGTAAAACAACGTGCTGCATATCTGGGTTATAAGTTTAAAATGGTTCAAAGAATCATTTAATAGCCTTTTTAGGGCCAAGTCGAGGGATACTAGTACTAACGTGTTGAATAGTATTCATATTATGAAACGCTACAGTTGGATTGGTTTTGCACAGTGCGCGAATGAGTCCAATCAATTTCTTTCTTTTATCTCTTTAATTTAACAATCTGACGTGAGGTCATTAGTTTTTAACACAGGTCATTACCTTTAAAAGTGAAATAATGATCTGTTTTTGATGCCGATCTGGCTAATCAGAAGCGAGTATATCGCTTTTTCATCTCTTTCTTTACTTTGACTCGGTCCTAAGTGTAATTCCAGGGAATCGGTATTATTTATCCGGTGAATGCGTTTAAATAAGCTTACATTTAAATGGACCCTGAGGGCTAATTCTTTTTAACCTGTAGGCTACTTCCGCGATATCCGGATCAGTAGTCCACAAAAGCCAATGATTTGCAATTAGGATGGCCATTATTGTGATCACCAGTCACTTTGTTGCTTTGGATTGGCTGTCAATTCATTCTGAGAGGGGTAGGTTGTCGTCTAAAATAATGATTTATATGGTCGTAAAGCAAGGTATAAATCCTACTTAGCTTGTTTAAACAATACACCTTTTCCAGAGCTAACTGAGACATCAAGTAGAGCAAAGAGAGACTGTGCCTTCTTTATCACGATAATAATTTTGGGTGGAGCCGCGTTCTGTTAGTTTTGGATACACCGAAGCAAATGAGATTAGCTTCAGAGCAAAAGAGATATATTTTTACTTATCGCTAAGTTCCAAACTGCTCGTCTTCCATCTTAGGAGCATCGGCAACAGCGCGCTGGCAATGCAACGCCATTGAAATGACAAAGTGGCAGTGCATGCAGTCGATGGACGCGTTAGCAGCGTCTTCCAGCAACACCATTCTTGCCTCCGTCATGGACTGGTGTGCTCCCTGGTGGAGCATGCGCGGTCGATGCAGGGACAAATAAGCCTTCACCTTGGCTTTGAAGGCACTAAAGCAGCCTGTAAAATACGTAATGTCAGTTATATGAACGTCTACAGTAGCGGTGTCGCCGCACGACCAGGCGCTTGAGGCATAGCGGAGATAACTCGAATGAGTGATCTGAGACCACTGGTCTCACTTGCTCTGGAGCCAATCTCTCTTGGTCTGGTCGTCCTAAAGTAATATGACCTGGCTATGCCTAATTTAGGCGCAGTCTCTCTTTGCTCTACTTGATGTCTCAGTTAGCTCTGGAAAAGTGTAGTAAGCTTTAGAGAGGACTCTAGAGTCTGTTAGTTCACTTTTAGCTTGTCTGCAATGTACTCTGCTGATTTTCGATGGAGAGCAATTACTCTCCTCTACTCCTACAGCATTGCGTGTAAACAAGTAGATCGCATCTTCGATTTATCTGCGCGTACAGTTCGACGATTATATAAGTACTTCAAGACTACTGGTCACGTTGTTCAAGAGAAGAGCGGTAACAAGAAGGCCTAAGGCGTACTACCTGGAGCTACTGTCGTTTGTCGGTGGCTACATAAAAAGAACACCCTTGCTTTTACATTGAAGAGCTCCAGGTTGAGCTGCGCTCGCGATTTGGGCCCGGTTCTGCAGGGCTGTCTGCATCGAGTATCCTGCGAACCTGAGTGCTTTGTTGGTGCATACCTATTTCAAGAACGGCAGGAGTTGTGCACATAAGATGGTTCCTTCCAATAGCCCTCTCATTATTGCACTCTCCTGGCGTGTCGGTTTTCTGATTTTATTTGAAAATCCATACGGGTTTCACAGATTTTGTAGGTAGCGATGGCAGTCTCCGAGTATACGCCCTTGAGGAAGCGGTATGGCGATTTATCTTCTTTTGACATGTCGACGTCGCCATCAGATTCGAACGCTTTGAGCTCGTTCTCTCCAATCCTGGGCCATGCATTCGTGACCGGTTCTGTCGTCGCCTTCGTCGTAGCGATTCGAAGGGCAATAGTGGGATCCATATCCAGCATTTGTACGTTCAGCCAATGTCCACATTGACAGCGGCTTGAACAGATGAAGTGATTTGTCAGGAATCCACCACATCAAGCAAATGTTGGCCCAGTCCTGAACCGCAGGAACTCCGGATGTTTTTGGCGGTTTCGGCAGCTCTTCCTCTGCACGGTCCTCAAAGCCGTCTTGGACACTGGTGGTAGGCGATAGTGTGGATGGAGCCACTAGTCTATTGATTTGGGCTTTCATTTCCAACATCAGATTTTCCAGGCATCGAAGGCGTTTGAGAACTGGTCCTTCTTCCGTATTCTTGGCGACTTCGTATGGGGCGCTTGGACAGCCATGTAAATAAGTCTTGTCTGGTGCCAAACAATCTGCAAGTTCATTATCTTCGGATTGAATCGTGACATCGAGCAGTACCGAACCAACGTTTCGGTTGTCTCGGATACTCCCCACCCGGCCCACCAGTTGATCATACAAAGCGACCAGCGGCGAGCGTGTTGTGCGTACATGAATCGGTATTTGGTGCCGGCACAACGAAAGGTGTGCGACGTAAACCAACTGTTGGTCCAGTGCTTGGAAACGTAGCCAGGGATCTCTTTACCATCTCTGTCCAGGCCACGAACGCTGCAGTTGAGCAGGTAGATGAAAACTTGTTCCGACATCTTCTTTCCCCAGCCTGCACCCACCTTTTCATAACCTGTAGCTGCGTCGTTTGTCTTCAGCACCTTCTTGCTAATGTTGTTCAACGCTGGGAAGACGTAATCATCATCACATCAATGATGTGCTTTACGCTGGGAAGCATAGTCCACCCAGTTGCACAAGTGCAGGTATGCATTGATTGCTAGCTCGTCTTTGAACATGTGGCGCAAATTATACATGCGTCCTTCAGCGACGGCCATTTTGCAATTGAAGAGCGCATACGTCCCATACTCAATAACCGTATCCGGAGAAACGACACTGCAGCGGGTCTGGCGAAGAGTGACGTCCTTCCACTGGAGATTCAAAACTTCATTGATACGACACGTGGCATAAAGATGAAACAGCCTTGAAACACACACGACTTTCTTCGCTGAATCCCTCAAACCCCACAGGAGAATCCATGAACGCATGAAGAACTGTGATCATATCCAAACAAAACGGAACCGCTTTAGCTGGCACATACTCTGATGCTTTCTTCTTCTTGAGCCCACGCATGAATTGACTAGGTGCATTATACTAGTAGTCTTTACACGGTGGGATCGCGTCGAAGACTTCTTTGGACGTTCAGCTAGCGGTTTGCCCAACATTGTTGTGCATTTACTTGACGTTTTGGACATTAAATTTGCAAGACGACTACTCTTCGTTCAAGAAATAATAGCCTCAAGGCTAGAAGAGTACACGCGCGCTGGCTTCTATGCAGTAGGTCCGTACACGAATATTTGGTGCTTTGTCGATGGAACAGTCCGTGGTGTTTGGCGGCTTGCGCCACGACGAGCTCATCACAACAAAACTTTTGGGTCAACAGTCTATCTATAACGGTCACAAAAATAACCGCAGCCGTGATGTTCCAGACACTAGTTACCGTAGATGATTTGATATCCCATCTTTACGGTCCGAATCCAGGCAGAAATCATGACATTAAAGTGTATCGCGAGTCAAAGACAGCAGATATCATACACACAGATCCTCGTTCCGCGACTATCGAATCTTTGGAGACTCTGCTTGCGGCTACGATGGCGTTACTGTGAATCGATTTGAAGGCGCTATTTCGAGTCTAACTTGTGATTATGTGTATAACAACAAATGCATGAGTAAAATAAGAGTGTCGGTTGAGTGATCCTACGCTCAAAAAGTAAGCTACAGGAAGTCACTTGCCGTGAAATCAAGCCTTCGTATTGGTACACAACCCGTTGGTCAAATGTATTAAGTCGGGGTATTAATGGCGAATTGCATTACGTGCATTCGAGAAGGGAATACGACCAGCGACTTATTCTGTGTCCCATCTCTTGATATCAGTGAGTATTTAGCATTTTAGTATTTGAGAAAGGAAAAACCTACTGCCCTTTTTTTTCGTAGCCCGTCGACAAATGACCAGGATAATCCCCTGGAAACAACACGTAATTGACCAGGTTTGAATTCTAAATTACTACTCCGTCTCGTAAATTTTGACCCACTGCATGATTTATCCTTCTCATTTTGTCAAATTTCATTCAAATTGATCAAACGTTGTCTTAAATTAATCCCCAAAATCGTACAGTCCGAACCGTATGCTCATTTTACCAGACCGGTCCGGATTGACGTCTGGTCAGTCTAATGAGTGTTTAGTAGGTCATTCTTACACCTGGGAAAGGGAACGTTTGATGTCGATTAGCTTCACTGTTTGGTACTTTATTCATTTTTAACTTGGCCGTGCAATGTCATCGCAGACTTCCACGAAGAAAAGGTGTGCGCTTAGTGAATGCGAGAGAGATAGAGTGGCCGTAGAGCTGTTAAAGCGGTCGGTTGAAGGCGTTCCGCGCGCGGGCGCCATCAAGGAGGTTGCGACCAAGTTTGGCGTCGATCGCAAGACAGTGTCAAGATTGTGGAAGCACGCAGAGGAGGAACAAGACAAGTCAGATATGATACGCTCTCCCTCGCAGCGTAACCAGCGCGGATGTCCCAAGAAGGATCTCACTGCAAAATTAGATAGGCTGTGCAGCGCCCCGTTGGCGCAACGAAGCACCCTGCGGTCGCATCGGCGGTGTCTGGTGTGGAACGAGCCAAACGTCATCGACGTGTACAAGGAGACCGGCTTTTGACTCACGTCAGCACCGTTACGCCCTTGCTCACGGACATGCATATAGTCAAGAGATTGGCATGGTGCATCCCACACGTGCAACCTGTCTCGCCGCTTTCAACGACATGTTCAAAACGATTCATGTGGACGAAAAGTTGTTTTATACGGAGGTTAGACGTCGATACTATCTGCTGCCTGGGAAAGCTGTACCGCATCGTCACGTCCGCTCCAAGCGTTATATTACCAAGGTGATGATGTTGGCCGCAGTAGCGCGTCCTCGTTGGGATCCTGAGTCGGGGACCTACTTCGACGGCAAATTAAGCATTTCGCCGTTCGTCGAGCGGAAACCTGCTGTTCCTAGCAGCCAACGGCGCCCTGCAGAGACGACGGTAACGACAAAAGGGCATGTGAACAAATAAATCTACCGAAACATGCTAATTCAGCGACCCCTTCCTGCCATTCGCGAGAAGTGACATTCTGTGGGCAGGGGAGGCTGCGTCAAAGTGCGACAGGACAATGCACCTGCTTACATCGATACTACCGACCAACCGTTTGTTCTGCTGTTTCCGCTGAAGAGCTTCACGTCCCGCTCCGCTGTCAGCCACCCAACTCACCCGATCTCAACTGTTTGGGCCTTTCGCTCTTCTCCGCGATTCAAGCTCGTCAACAGCTGCTGTCACCGAAGAAAATTGACGAGCTGCTCGATGCCGTCACAGACTCGTCCTGGGCGTAGCCTCCGCCGAAGCTGAACGCAGCCTTCCTCAGTCTTCAGGGTTCAATGGACCTGTGCATCAAGGACGGTGGTGGAAATGCGTTCAAGCCTCGACACTTTGCAAAGGAGGAACATAATTTTGAGATGATAAAAGAGTGGTATGGGCCATCATTTATGAGGCAGAGAAGTAATAAAATACGACGATTAGCTAATATTCCCTCAACCCTATCATTACCAGATACTTTAATCTCAGTCACCTGATCGTGCGCCTGTCGGCCGCAATTTGCTTCTGGGATCTCATTTCCGTTTATTGCGTGATAGGAGGAAGAATGTAAATCAATTGGTGAGGACATGAGAGTATCCGAAGATGGCAAAAGGATGGCTCCGGCGTTGTCGACGGGTGAAGACCGTAGTGGCGGCAGCAGAGAAGGGGAGGCGGCTGCACTTGCAGCAGATATGGCGAGGAGGATATATTTGAGGCAAAACCGGCGATTCAAACGGCCTTCTGTGCTGGTGGAGTATGTGCACGCATGTTCCAGTATCATCATAGGGGATCGCCCAAGCAGCTTT